TTCGCAGAAGTTCTCTAGAACTCATGCTCTTAATGATTTTGGTGCTGCCGAACGTCTTGTCATGGACCTCAATTTGGCCGTCACTCACGCATTGACCGCGCACCCGTACGATATACTGTTCTTGCCGCAGTGACCCCCATAATACTGTTCACCTCTCGTGTCCGAGTACTTTCTGCCGGTGTGACCGTCTGAATCGTGGGCACATAGGATTCCACTCAATACAGGACAGGTCTGAAGTTGTGACTTGCGGAACTGCTTTTAAAGGTGGGGTAGGGCAAGGGTACCTGTGTGACTAGCCGCGTTGATCTTGTGCACTGCATAGGATTCTTTTTAACTTAAACCCTAGGCGTCGTGACTGTCGCTCAACTCACTCACCGTAGGGGGTACTTCCCAGTTCCGTATGTCTTTTGAACAAAAGTATTTATTCCACCCCTGCTTGTTCAGGGCACGATATGCCGCATTTCATATTTTAAGTAGAGCATATGCCGCATTTCACTCCTTCATGTACGCAGGGGTGTTCATGTACCCTACAACAGTAAACTTTGCTACAATGAGAGGGGTCGGCAAATTTAAATAGTTCAGATGATCTAATTGTTAAAAATTCGCGGCCTAGGTGGGATTCAAACCCACATCAACAAGGGAAGGCTTGAGTACCACTAACGCTCTTCCAACTGAGCTACGTGGCCCACTGGGAGCCGTGAATATAATAACACTTAGGCCGATTTACCCGCCCCGCCTCCTGCACGAATGGAATCCACCAATACGGACACAGTCAGCTGACTACCCAGCCAGTATCTCCTAAGCCATCATCTAGAATCTACCAGACTGACCACCAGGTACACTTACGTATTATGAGGAGGTTGACAGGTTTGGATAATCCAGTTAACCCAATTTTGATTGGCTATCCTCGAGCCTTCCGTTGTTGACAAGGGTTCGAATCCCACCGAGGCCGCTAATCTCTCACGCTTTGGTCAATTAAAGTTGTTGCAATGGCCCGGAAATTTTTAAGGTTATTCCTCTCATTTATCT